AAAATGCCATAGAAATCATGTTTGCCAATTTATGTCCATGCCAAAAACTGGACAAATTATATGTTGCAACTTTCAAATAACAACAAGTGAAGGCAGTGTCATTCATGACCTGTTTGATTGAATAAATTTTTACGGCTTGGAGGCCATTTTTTTCCTTAAAAATCTAAAAAAAACAAGCTTTTTCTCAGATATGGTCATCTAGTTTTGTTCAAAGTTGGTACAGGGACAGGTAATTGTTTACAAGTGCACATCACATTATATGTTTAACAAGTTATAAATTGTCTCAGAAAAGCCAAATGAATAAATTTGTACCCCACCCCCTAAAATTGTAACACATCAATTCTGAACAATTAATAACAGAATTTTAATACAGCTCACAATGAATTAATTCACTCTGACACAAACCCAGTTCAATATAAATTTTTTCTCAGCGGGGGCTATGACATGACATGTCATGTCTTGTTTTATTTAAAATGGTACATAATAATGACTTAATTTGCATACTAATTAACCCTTTTAGCTTGGTTTTTGGTTACTCATGCATTACAGAGGAAGTACAGCTTTTAATCCTTATCTGGTTAAGACAATGTAAAGTGCATTGGGCTGGCACGATGAGGATTCAACACAAATGTTAACGTATATTGATGCGCTTTTTGGATGTTCTTTCATTTGTTTGGTGTGACCTCTATTTCTTGTAGTTTCTGATCCCAGCGCTGATTGGACAGTGAAACATGGTACTAGTGTAGCCATAGGTGTTGCTTTGAAGGAAGCACCAGAACAAGTCTTGGCTAAGAGAGAAGAAAAACTATTGGATATAGCCATGGCTAATGCCACCACAGACAGGGTAAGTAGTTCTGCTTCATGCATGTAAGCGATTATAATTTATTTGAAATTCTTCTCAAATCTTAACTTGGAAAACTTATTAGAGACCTTTACTTTTCTGGATTAGGAGCAATAGATCTTGCAATCATCTACATTGCTGTGCATTGTATGGTGACCATATTGAACATGTATGCTTGAGATGACCACCACACTTTTTAAGCTGTATTCCCACTTTATATCTGTGACTGACCCTTGACCCCTGGCCCATCTATGTAAATACTATCAAATATTGAGATTATTGATGAGTAAGGAGAATTTAATCGGTGCTCTTAAATTCAGACTCACTGAGGCCAAGATATTTACTTTTTTTTTATATCTTTTAGATAAAATTTCAACACCTTTATGTTTTTAGCTTTCTCAGGGAGCGATGTTTCACATATTTGTTCTGCCGAGATAAGTCTAATTTTCCTCATTGATGAAAACCTTTACTTTCATTTTAGATACCGATCTGTGTCAGTGGTATTCGATGTATCGGTTTTCTTGCACGTCATTACTTAAATTGTGATAGTCTTGTACCACAAAATATCATATCAACACTTGTCAAGGTATGTTTAAACTTGTTTAATGTTGCTGTTATTTTATCATCTTTGTTTTATAATGTCATTTCAATAATTAACTGTTCTATGTTTAGATAATTTGAAGATTTTATTTTCCGGGGATGGACTAATGAAATAGCATTTCAACAACAACATTTTAAAATTTGTTGTGTAAATTTCTGTGCTAATTTTGAGTAATATACCATTGCTTGTTAGGCTTGCTAAAAAAAATGGAAGTGAATTTTGTATCAATCCGAGCTGCAGGTGGTAATTGTGAGAGAATATATCGTGGGATTATTTTATATTCTCGTGGCAGAAAATATCATGGTATCTTAAAAGTGGGCGTGGTAATTTGTGTAGCTTGATGTTTTCGTAACAGGATGTCTGTAACTCAAACAATTCCGCATCTCTGTGATTTAGAGAGTTTATTTCAAAAGGAAGTATTCATGTTTGATGTGATGTCTGTATTACACTTCTTTCATTTAGAGTTTGAACAGCGCATCCAATGATCTGAAGATTACGACGGCACAAATGATCTACTACATCTCAAATCAGAATAAACAACCACTAAATATAGCAATAATTAAACCACTTGTTACTGTGCTGGTCAGTAATACCAAAGAACGGAATACCATGGTACAAGCTACGAGTGAACAAGCTATAGTCAGTCTATTACAGTTGAGGAGGAATGATGATTTACTACAGGTAAGATGTTTCCCAGGCTGCTTTGTGCTTGGGTGATTCCATTGTGGGACTGTGGGGTGGGTAATTTGAATATAGTTGAGATATGATAAATCTGTAATACATGTAAGCACTTTAGGGTTTCAAGGGTGATTTGAGATAAAAGTAATTAGATCTGCATAAACAAACACAATTTTTGCTAATTTTAGTTTTTTTAAACCAATCTCTTGCAACTGTTTTTTCCTACAGGAAGTCATGAAAGCCCTGGATTCAGTGCCTGCAGATAACTTACAAGACTGCATGAAGAAATTACGCAAAGTTGCAAACCAACCACACCTATCTGATGAGGAGATAGACGATACATTGTTGCATTGAGTTTTGTTTTATCCTGTTCCGAGGAATAATTGGTTGAAAAACCAACACTTTTTTAATCACTATTTATTTTTCTTGCTCAGATTCTTCAAAAAAATTGCTGTAACTAGGAACCTTGTGTGCCAGTATTTGCAGTTGAAATTGACAATCATGACATCATGATTTGCTGATGGTTGCCCCATCCATTGCCATGACCAGTTTTTGTCCTGGTTATGTACAAAATTAATCAAGGATTGAAATATGATCTTTGTATAAATGTTTAAAGCATATTATATTGAGATGTTGTTTAAACATGACGGTGTAATGCGAAAGGCGATTTACCGTGTGATATTCATTGATATTCACATCATATATTCAACTTAACCAGTGCTCATCCTGCCTATCAGAAATGAATTACAGTTTGCACAATACAATCAGGGACTCAACACAACATGTCGGTGAATGCACTCAGACATTAGATTTGAAAAAACAAACAAGTTTCAAACTCAAACAATGATTACCTAAGTTTTTAGCTATTGTTTCTTTGTTTATTTTTCCAGTATTTGATATACAATTGTGAAAGAATTTCTGACTGGATCCCATTGACATATACCCTAACATAAATACGACTAACTAATAATTTACAGGAACCAATGAAAAGATTAATTTTGTGACTTTTCACCCAAATTCATTTTTAATTCTAATGACTATTAATGAATATTTAACAACTTGAAAGTAGGGCCAGTTAGACCTATGCTACAGAAGATACTTGTGTTAAAGCAAACTGTGTAAAAGATGCCAGAAGAAAAATAATTTAATTTGATTTTAAAACTCCACTGAATCTCAAATACTGATTATAATTGTATCGCCCGATATTATCAATGACTTACAGTAGCACCATGATAATCATTGCTTCTATACTGTCCAGTCTAGAATCATTTACAATAAGCCAGGTTTTCATCCAAAAGCTGATATGGTATCTGACAATTGAGTTTCATATTGAGTGACATGTTTTTGAGAAGTGCCATGAAACAAAATTGGTGCCAGGCACAACATACCGAATATATTACCTGTTATACATTTTATAATAAGAAACATTTCTTTTAAACTGTGTGCATGGCATATCCCACCACTCTCACACTTTCATTCTTGAAATAAATGGAAAATGTCTGAATAAACATACTTTTTAGTTGTTTTGTCTTTTATGACATATTTTACCCTGAAAAAGTTTTTAAGTAGTATATTTAAAATACCATATATACAATTGTCACCAAAAGGCAGATGCTGTGAGTAATCTATTGAATGAAGTATGGTCACTGCAGTGGATTGGAAGTTCAAAACAGTGGTTGTATTCATTAAAGTTGGCTGGAAAGAGTGCGAACAATTATTTGGGAAACACTTATGTTGGTTGACTAAGGGTAAAATTTTGGTAAGAGTAGGCAAAGTTGGTTGAAATGGTTGAAGACAACAATTTTATAGGAAGTGTGAACAAGTTGGTTAAAGCGACATAACCTTTGTTCAAATATAACCACATCGAGATGACCAAATCTTACCAAAATATTATTTTAGACACAATTACATTGGTAAAAAATAAAATCTAATAAACTGTAATGTTAAAACTAAGAATTGAGTATTGGCCATTTTATTGAACATGGTGTGGACTGTAGAAAATTATGACTCCCCATCATGGGAAATAACGCAAAGTCATCAGGGAGGTTAAACTTCCAACATGGCAATGTGTTTGATATTTTGCTCAGTATACCTGCTAAGTTGTCATCTTGCTCTGTAATTCTCAAGGTTAACTTGACCAAGTTAGATTTCAATAGATGGTGGCATTTTGAGACCTGGATGCAAGTAAAAAAAATGTTGGTGTAGAGCGTATATGCTATGCTTTCAGTATACACATTTCAGCAATGGCTGTTACAAATGGACACTGATGAAATAGGAGATAAAAGATAAAAGACTTAGGTTGGAATTGTGTAAGTTGTCTTGAATTGTCATGTTGGTGAACTAGACAGGAAACTTGAAGTCTGCTGGGGAGACATGAAAGTTTGAAGGGAAGTGTAAAAAAGTTGGCTGGAAGGTTGCTAAAGTTGTCGAAGAGAATGTAAAAAAGTGGGAAGTTGGTTGAAATTGCTTTGAGCGACACATAAATAGTATGTAGAAACAATGGTTTCAAAGTTGTTTTAGTTGATAGAAATGTGTAAGTTGGATGTAATCAGTAAAGCTGGCTTAAGTAGTTTGGGGCAATGTTGGCAAAGTTGGTCGGGAAACGTAAAACTGATGGAAGTCAGTAAAGCTGGTTGAAATTGTTTATGTTGGCTAGGAAGATTTTGGTTGAGAAGTGTGAAAATATTATTGGTTGGAAAGCTGTCTAGCAAGGAGTGAAACTTTGGTAAAGTCAGCAAACATGATTGAAATTGTTAAAGTTGCTTGGAATGACATAAAATTTTGGTTGGAGTTTGGCCAAGTTGGTTGAAATCTTTAAAGTTAGTTGGGAAATCGTAAAAGTTTGTTGTGAAGTTGATATAAAGTAGTAACAGTAAGGTAGAAATAAATGTTGGCGAGGAAGATGTAAAAGTTGTGTGATGAACAGTTGGATGGACAGTCAAAACATGGTTAGAAAACGCTGGTTATAAATACGTGAAAACTTTTTAAAAATGGGTAGAAAATTGACTAAAAGGTTAAGTTTAATACTCGATTGCGACCCGAACAGTGCGAACTGATTATCGACTACACAAATCATGAGCTAGTTTATTCCTGTATTGTTGCCAAGTAACGAAATTACTCTCTTCATCTGATTGGTTCAGGGAGAATACTGACCTGTGGCATCAATTAGAAAATAATAATATCAAACCGTAATAAAGATTGAAGACTAAATTGTAATGTATAATCGTCCTGTTATGTTTTTATTTATACTTGTTTTGTACAATAATAACAATGTGTATCCTTCCGCGTTGAAATGCATTTGATGAATGTTTTCTGTATGAATCACCCCTGACCAAGACATGACTTTTTATTATGTCCCGAAGTAAAGAAAGATCACCAAACCAAAAGTTTAAGGTTTGTAGCCACTCTGGGTTGAAAGGTCACCAAACCAAAAGTTTAATGTCTGTAGCCACGCTGGGTTGAAAGGTCACCAAACCAAAAGTTTAATGTCTGTAGCCACGCTGGGTTGAAAGGTCACCAAACCAAAAGTTTAATGTCTGTAGACACGCTGGGTTGAAAGGTCGTTTTAAAGAATCCAATGATTTTAAACATTTCTGTTGAAAGAGTGTTGGTTAAATGTAGTGCGCTCTCATTTCTTAGGTGTTTAACTATTGACAGTTACCTGGTCTGATATTACAATTGTAACTTCGATTAATACAGTGATTGCAAGGCAATATGGCGAGCCACCGTCCGGTGGGCGAGCGAACTAGCTAGCAGTTTGATACGTGTTAAAGCGCGGTGGTCGTCGTGTTCGAATTTCATGTAAATAAACAATGTATTTTACACGCGTTGTATACGTCGCTATGAGTCCCATATCGAACAGGATGCGGCGATGACCACCGCCCTTTAAGTTTTTTTCTGCAAATTGTATCTTATAAAAATTGTTAAAAGAATGTCAAAAACCTTGGTTGAAAGACATAAAATATGACGTGGAATAGACTTGTATACAGTCTTTTGTTTATTTGTCGATATATATTTTAATAAAATAAAATATGGGAGTGTATAAATGGCGAAAGCGATGTCATCGTTTATTTCGCGGTAATTTACACACTTCCATGATATTTTATTTTATTGGAAAAAACACCAAAAAATAGTCAATTGTAACATGTTGGTTTGCAAGTTGTTAAAAGGCGTGAAACGTGGGTGGAAAGTGTGAAAATGATAGCTTGAAAGTTGTTGAAGTTGGCCGGAAAGACGCAGTAATTTCAACAAAGCAACACAATTAGTCTGTCACGTGACGCTTATGTAAATAAATGACTAGCTTGTATGTTTAATTTGTTCCCGTGCTTTCTGAACAAATACGGTGAAAAGATTTTTTTGATTGAGATAACAGATAGAGAATTCTTTATTCGAAAATGTCATCATGCCCTTCCTGTTACTCGTATTGGAATCATAAACACCCACTTACATAGTTTTCACTGGAATAATGTGACTGTTTATACGTTTTCATTTTGTATTGGGCACTATTAGGTGGAGCTTTTTATTTTGGGTTATATGGCTAAGTATTTTATGGTACTCTCATTAACCTAAAACATGCATTTTTAATGAATTTCGAAAAACACTTCCTTTGTAATTTCTCTCCAATTCCTTATTAGAAATGCAGATTTCATCATATGTATCCAAAACTGTAGGGTAAACTAATATGTGCTACATGTACTTCTCCAGGACACACACACACACACACACACAGTAGATATAAACTGATCAATTCTATCGTACTATCAATCCACTATCTAATATGTGCTACATGTACTCCTCCAGGACACACACACACACAGTAGATATAAACTGATCAATTCTATCGTACTATCAATCCACTATCTAATATACCTTATAGTAATATAACTCAAATACAGAAGTCTAGAGTTTCCAATCAGCGTCTGTCTTGGGGAGATGTCCAGATTATATTGTATTCAAATCGTAATAATTATGAAGGATCCCTTGGGGTGTTTTTAATCGTACGTTATCTGAGCCGAGTTGATTACTTTAGTAGTTGATTTGTAGCGCATTGGCAAAGGGCTGTAAGTGACTTATTGTAATATACAATTGCGGAAATCTATCATCGATTTCGTCACATACATTGATGTGAATAGAATATATCTAACTGTAGTTTCAACTAGTGTTCAATATAATATCCATCCTAATACATGTATATTGAAAAGCAATACCTAAAAGTAACCCACACAAAAAGATGTCGACAAACCGACTCTCTGCGCATACCAAACCAATACACATGACAATACCGACTCTCTGCGCATACCAAACCAATACACATGACAATACCGACTCTCTGCGCATACCAAACCAATACACATGACAATACCGACTCTCTGCGCATACCAAACCAATACACGTGACAATACCGACTCTCTGCGCATACCAAACCAATACACATGACAATACCGACTCTCTGTGCATACCAAACCAATACACATGACAATACCGACTCTCTGCGCATACCAAACCAATACACATGACAATACCGACTCTCTGCGCATACCAAACCAATACACATGACAATACCGACTCACTGCGCATACCAAACCAATACACATGACAATACCGACTCTCTGCGCATACCAAACCAATACACATGACAATACCGACTCTCTGCGCATACCAAACCAATACACATGACAATACCGACTCTGCGCATACCAAACCAATACACATGACAATACCGACTCTCTGCGCATACCAAACCAATACACATGACAATACCGACTCTCTGCGCATACCAAACCAATACACATGACAATACCGACTCTCTGCGCATACCAAACCAATACACATGACAATACCGACTCTCTGCGCATACCAAACCAATACACATGACAATACCGACTCTCTGCGCATACCAAACCAATACACATGACAATACCGACTCTCTGCGCATACCAAACCAATACACATGACAATACCGACTCTCTGCGCATACCAAACCAATACACATGACAATACCGACTCTCTGCGCATACCAAACCAATACACATGACAATACCGACTCTCTGTGCATACCAAACCAATACACATGACAATACCGACTCTCTGCGCATACCAAACCAATACACATGACAATACCGCCTGATAATATACTTCAGTCTAATTATCTATATTAGACGAACACATCAAACTTTTAAATTATTCTGCAGTGATATTATACTTGTGTTGAAAAGATCAATCGTCTTAAGATTGTGTATTACTTATTAGTATTACTTTCTTGTGTTTCATTTTGTGAACAGAATATCTGGCTCAATTCATACAGTAATTTTTTCTTACGACTATCTTTATTTCTATAATCACTTTTTTTTTTCTGAATATTACCATGCCTCATACTGAATCATACCGCAATAGTCATGCAAGTGCATATAATGAAAACCAAAACAATTCCATACATAGCGCCCTCTAGCGACAGTGTGTTTTAACGACGTAAAGGGTAGACACAAAAAGAGATCATCACTATATCTATCT